TGTAATGTCAATAATCCAAATAAACTGAGATGTCCAATCCAAAAACATAGAAATGATAATCACAAGGACAGACAACTTCCGCCATATCCCTTTTCTTGAAAAAACATCCGCAAAAAGTATTAATTTCTTCTCAACAAATACAATTTTAGCTTCGTTACACAGTTGCATCCCGATCTTCTTAGTAACCCATGCAATCGCTTTCTGCTACTTTTAACCTTGAACTTCTTCTTCGACCTACGTCGCTCGGAGTATTATTGTTCCCTCACGGAATTATACTCTTGTTTTATCCCTTAATACATTATCTACTATAAAAGGTATATACGTAAGATATCGAATGCTATGTGGGTTGGTCTTCCCTGGCATTCATTGTCGAGGGCTTTACGTGCTCTTTGCTTCGGTAGCACAAGGATTTTAGGTTTTTTGTTTTTCTGCCAGTATTTCTTTTTTTTAGTTCATTGCAAATCTCTACCACTTCTAAATTGCAAATTAGGGTTTGTATGGTCTTTCGCGACATTGTGGCATCGTCCTCTTCTTTGCTGGTCCTATCATAACCGGTGGAAGTATCTCGTAAGAGGGTGGATTCACTAACCGGTTACCAACTAGAGTATATTCTCCATTTGCTTTGCTTTACCAGCCGCCGGAAACTGCACCCATCCCAAAAAAATACACAAATTGGCGGTATTGATCCGTGTTACTGCCACATAGAATAAATAATCCACCTACGTCCCGCATGGGACGAGAACATTCGATTGGTCAATCATAATAAAGACTAAAGAGTTTTGTCACCATCTAGACATCTGCAAAACAAGGTCAAAGTTTCCTCCCTGTATTAATACAGGGTGATCGAAAAGTAGTGCGGACAGTTTGAATTTCCCGGAGAACTAAACATTTATAAAGTTGGTAACATACCTAAATGTCACTTATGTTAAAAGCAGTGGTGGATCAATTTAATCACTAATGCATAAATAAAATACCTTCTAAACATGTTTGCCAATTCCTTAAGTAAAAACCATTAAAAACTTAAAGCGCCCAATTTAAACTGTCTGCAGTTCTTTTTGATCACCCGATATACAGCCTACAATGAAGCACACATTTTTGAGACCTGGCAACCTCGCAATTTTTAGAAGGGGAAAAACTGACTACGCCGTGTCGGAGAGCACGAACGCTTGTTACGTTGGAACTTGGAAGCATCGTGCTTCTAAGGCCGTTAAGAAAGTTATATCGTTCCATAGTAATCTTTGCATTTCCTTATAATTTATTTGTGTTTTGTATGCAACATGTTATATCTTTTCTTTGAAATTGTCATGATTTAACCTCAATGCACCACGTGTATGAAAAATTTCCTTTAATTTAATTTAATTTAAATAATTGAACAAGTCCACAAGTAATAAGTTTTGCGAAAGCCCTTGTTACTTTATCCACGACAAGTGAGGAAAAAATTTATAAAAAAATAATAATAATAATAATAATAATAATAATGCTTTATTGCCCATCATGTTTATGTTTCGATTTGATACTCTTGGCCCCAACTTAAATTGAAATTTTTGATCATTCACTTAAATTTCTGGAAATTTTTGTTTGATGTACCTATTGATTGTTGTTTGTAAACGTACCTATATTTTAACCAGCAAGACCGTGCAAATTTCCATCTTGCTTTTAACAGAAGGGTTTTATTGCACCAAAGATGAGTCACCTGTTGTACAGCAATGCATCCCAACTAACTCTTTGTTTTGCAACTTGCTTTTAAACTGTGTTTATTACATGTTTTGTGTATATGATTTATATTTATCGTGCTTTAGTATCAATCAATTGCAACAAATTATTTATACATTGACAACAGTTTCACTGTTGCTCATTCGAGATTATAGGCTATTATACAATAACCAGAGCTGCCGTTAGCCTTCACGGACCTCGGGAATATATGTGATGACCGGGCCCCTATAATGACAAATTTTATTATCCATCATATATTTTCAATCTTTCCTTCTTTCTTGGATTCAAAAGGTGAACATTTGAATAATGTTCATATATGTACCTACATACACAGCAATTTTCATAACTTATTATTAAATGCAAGATCCCTTTTGTCCGGGCCCCCAAAATACGATCGGACCAGGGGACATTACCCCTGCTTACCACCCTTATCGGCGGCCCTGACAATAACTGATCTAAATGCAAAGACATTCAAAATGAGAATTATTTTTTGTTGTTGTTTTAGTCTGTGTTTCTTCCCAACAATTCTTCAGGTCATAGCGTTGTTAACAACTAACATAAGGGCGGCCTGTCTTAGATGTTTGATAACGTGCCATTTTTCGATTTGAAATTTTAGCGGGATCTGTTTAACTTTTGGAGTGAATAACCAGATTAGAGAACCAGTGCAACAAAACTAAAGTACTCTACAATAGAAGGAGCAACCCACATAAGGGAGGCAATTCACTAATTTCAGGTGAATGACCTGTACCTGATGGCCGAAACACTGTAATAGTGTTTGTGGACATTAATAAGAGCATCAGAAGCTGAGATATGTCAGTGTCTAAAATGCTCTATCTGCAATAATGATCTGAAAGGAAACCCGACCCTCAAAAAATCAGCTAAAAAAGGGCACAAAAGACCATCTACAAATCCTAACAGAGAAAGAAGAAGTAACAGTTCACAGAACATGTCAAAAAATATTGCAATGAGGCTATGATCGCCGCTCATAGGTAGGTATATGCCCTGAAAGTGCGGGATAGATGATTCAGCCCACCCGCCATCAACGAGCTTTAAAAGGTCTGTGCTCAGGTCAGTTTTCGCTTCAATGGTCATTTACCGCCTTTATGCCGACGAAATAACTGCTATTTTTTTTGGAAAAAGGAAAGCAGACTCCTCTTGCAAAACGAAAAGAATGCTGCCCACAATCGTGGAGATTGAACATTCTAGGACGGGTTCTTTCTGACTTGCGGCTGATGCACAATACCATCATTTTTGTCAGAGGTACCTACCTAGTTATTTCTCCATGTCTTCAGAGTATGCATATGCAGTGCTATTCATTATGAAGTACACATAGGAATTTATGAGTATTGTTGTTGACTATGTCTACTTTTAAATGACAAAATCTCTTCTGACGGGCGCCTAATTTTATCCAGCCAAAATAACTTTTTAAAGCAAATGAAGATCTGCCCGTCACATTAATTACTTTGAATACTGTTGCTTTGGGTTCCGTATTTTTACTTTCGTTGATATTCCTAATTGGTATAGTGTTGGCAACAGTTTAAGAAGCGTAAAAGATTTATTTTCTGGTAATCCAAAACTAATTATTAGTATGACAGGCTATTGTAGATGCTTAAAATTAGGCGTTCTTCAGAAGAGATTTTTGTCTTTTAAAAGTAAACATATACCTAACTCCCGCCAAGAAAGATTGTCGGTCACAGTACACCTTGTGTCAATTTAAAATCTATGTTTTTTAAGATGCGAGCGACTTCCGGAATAGGATCGTGCCAATGTTGAACGAAAACACTTTTCCTTCAACACTGGCACGATCCTATCCCGGAGGTCGCTCACATCTTTAGAAAAACAGACCGGGATCAGGTGACCGGCAATCTTTCCTGGCGAGAGGTTTAGAGAAAAACACACGTAAATCCCTTGTCTACTTCTTAATAAATACCACTGTATAAGAAATGCGGCATCGTGCGCAAATTTTTTTAATCACCTGTAATACGCACTATTACCACCTTATGACGTAATATACAATTTATCTAAGTGTGAAATTTAAAAATTACCTACCTATGCATAATTATTGAGTAGTAATTTAAACACAAAATTTCCTTAATTTTAAATACAATTTTTGACTTTAAGTCTCAAAGAATCAACCCTAAAATCCTTCCTTGGATGCACTTCAAAAACCCGAATCGAAAATAATCAAAACTGCATTCAATTTCCAGAAAGCGCTAAAAATCTGAAAAAATAGCTTGTCGTGTCGATTGCCGGAATGTCAATGCAAATTTTTTTTTCCTTATATTAAGTAAACGCAATTATTTACGTTAAATTAGACTATACAGTTATTCTGGGGAAGTTGATATCAAATGACTCCTCGAAAACAAAGTGTCAGCAGCGGTACTTCCAAATGGAAGATGGAAGGTCTAGGAGAGAATATTCTGTCAGTGAGTGTGAAAATTTCGAATAGCTCGAGAACGGTGTAGGGAGAGAGCATTCTAAAAGATAAAATAACAGGTCCAGACGAAACGTGTGTGTCTGTGTAACTGACCCAATCCTTGATAGATTGTGGGAAAAATCTGTTCACCAACAAGCAGCGTGATAAATTTGCAGTGCATAAGTAGGTACATTTTGTAATTTTTGCCGTAGTTTAATTTCAAGTGAGTAGGTGCTTAACATTTTATATGTGGTAAGTACACAAACACCTACCCACGTTAAGACCGTAATGTACGACAACCGCCGCCTACCAGAGTGAATATTTACACTGTTAATGAGGTAATTTCCCTAAATGAAATTATGCAGAAAACACCCTGTATTTGCTGAATTTAATTTTCGGTCACACTGTCCACCAAATAGCGAAAACTTGTTTTTCGATTTTCACAAAGAATGCGGTTCCAGATCTTCGTTAGGGATAACTACCTGCTAAATTGCGACATGATAGCATCAAAATTGTGTCCCGTATCAAGGTGATAAGAACAAAATGTGATAACTCCAGTATGACACCATGACCATATAAGAGCATTGCTGTTGCGGTATTTGCCCAAATTATTTTTTTGTCTTTCTGATGTAAGGAATTAGAAAAGTGACATAAACCCAGAACTATGAGATCTTGAGATCCAAATCCTTGTTTCTCCATTAGAATTCAACCCAACATTCTCACTGAAATAATTTTTCAATTTGTAAGCCGTCTGTGTCGTGTCTATTTAACACAAACTAAAATCAAATGTGCTTTTTCACTACACTTTGTACAGAATAAACAAATTAGAAATGTTTGGTTTTATACATATTTATATTTGACTAAGTATATTGTAAATATATAAAAATCATACATGCTCTTACAGTACATTGTGTTATACGTATTCCATAAAAATATTAGTATGTTGCACTACAAGCGCTACTTAACAAATTATTATCCAATTTTCAAATAATTTTTTTACAGAAGATATTATAAATTGGCAAGAAAACTGAACTTTAATCAAAATTCTGTAGTGGAACTAACTCGTAAGACAATTTTAAGGCTTGGATTTTTTATTGAACACCACATAAAGTTGGGACACCTAAACGTTCATCAAAATGCCGATAGGTACTATATGTACATGATGTGATATGAAATTTAATAATTTCGGTATTTATTGAAGTGTGTGATTTGCATATAGCACTGCACTATCATAAAGTAAGTATAAAAACAAATATTTACAATAGCTGAACTCTCTGAAAATAAATTATTAAATATCATGCAAGTTGCATTCAACAGCAAATATAGTACAAAAGTGAATTTCTCACGTTTAAATCTTCGTGTTTAATGACACAACGATTTGAACATTTTTGGTCAATCCTCTACTTCATATAATCTATTTAAATAGATACCTATAAGTAAATGTTCGTTACACACTAAATATTAATAGGTAAATCTTCTGGCACGTGATATATAGTTATTTGTGTGTCATCTGACAGTGTAGGCGTAGTTGTGTTAGACTTCATTGAACTAGTCGAGTGTTGAGAATTTGATTTCTCCAAAGGCCAATAGGTGTGTGAATTGTCGTGGCAATCTTCAGGACCCATCGAAATATCTGCTATAATCCCACTTTCTGTAACAAATTACTGTCATTATGCGAATTGCCCCATCTAATCACTCGAAACCTTTCAGAAAGCTCTTTTTTGGCACCGCTCCGGCAAGCAGGTAAAGGTTCTGAGTGAGTTTAGAATTTGCGCCCCATGCACTTACCTGTTGAACATTGACTATTTAGAGTTCCAGATCTTCGACAGAACTTTGGACTCCCACAGAAAGGTTCAAATAATACTGGTGCGGCTGCAGACGTTGGCGTAGTTACGGCACCTCCAATTGATCCGCCCGAACTGGTACTACTCGATGATATACTCGACATGGAAATCACAGAGTGAGGTCTTTTTGTACTTCGACACGATTCAATTATGGGACCGGCGATCGAGTTACGAAATCGTGGCGCAGCTGAAATCAATGGAAACGTTGCCACCCTCAGTGCCAGAATGTAGACTTACTTTTACTAAGCTGGGCGAAGCTAATGGACCGATCACTAATTTGGTCGACGCTCGGTCGGATATCCAGGCACGGTTTATTTCCAATTCCCATTGAAGACATTTCGGCCATTCTTACCTCTACACAAAGAATTAATGACAACAGCAAGAACGGGAATACTCACCTCGATTCCTAATCGCCTGTTTCCACAGCAATTGCGAAAGCTCCTCAGCCCAGGCCTTCTTGCAATCCTCCGAGGTTGCTTGAATAGTAAAGGTGTCGTTGGGCTTACGTTTCCTAAACCATATTTCAAACTTCGTAGGGCTATCGCCTATTTTGGCGGTCAGTCCGATATCCGTCAGTTTAATACTGTTTTTGTAGATAAATAAGTCTAGATTCTGAAAGGACACTTAATTCATGGCGTTAGCTACAAATGAGACGTACCTTTCTATCGGGAAACCTTCTGGCTTTACTAAACAGTATCAACTCCTCGAACAGGAATACTTGTCGCAACGTCTTTTTACCCGTACGTCCCTCCCACACCAAAAATTCATTTTGCCTTATTAGCTTTCCTTGTTCCTTTAAATTGACCTAAATGCATGCGATTAGAAAAATGCGCGAAAAGGGGAGACGACTTACATCGCAATCCCGAATGGAATCCATCGCCAGTAAGTCATTGCCATGGCGCAGTTGGAAACGTACCATCTCTTCGGCTTGCTTCAGATCGTCTTGTTCAGAAATTGCTCTCTCTGAAGCGCCAGGTGCTAGAGGGGGGCAAGCTTTCATCATCTGCTGCAAGAGTAACGCGTACTTTCCCATGCGCTGTACCGGCTTCAGCAGGTAACTGGCCAGGTCCATCTTATCCTCCAATTGCAACTGCTTGGTCTACCAACAAGTAAGTGAACAGCGGGTCGTTTTTTAGACACTCACCTTAAAAAAGATCGTCCCGTATTCGGACAGCAACGAATCTGACTTTGGCTTGTTTTTGTTGTACAGAGCGTACAAATAAAATTTCTTGCTATGCTTTAGGAAGATCTGTCCGACCTGCAACGGATTATTTTCGCACTGCTCCAGTTCCCTTAGAAAGTGCTGACTGTGAAACTCGTAAATCTTTTCCACATTTCCAAATATTACATTACGTTGTCCACGTAACGCTTGAGGTATATCGTCCCTCATTAGCTCGGGTATGTAGTTTTCAATTATATAATCCAGGGATTTGACGTAATCTCTCTCAGTATGTATCATCTCTCGCATTATGAATAAGAGAGTTCTGCGAAAAGTCATACTAGGCGCACATAATTTGAGCGTGGTAACTTACTTCTGAGTTTTTGGATCGGTGTGCGAATCGAAGGAGTCGACTGGTAAGTGGAAAGTTGAGGCATGGCAATGTAAGTGGCTGTTGGCTGAAATGGGAGGCACCTTTTTCCTGCTTTCGCCAAAATGATCGTCTTCAATGTCATCGCTACCGCTGGAAAAATAAGTGTAATAAACATATTAGGGTAAAAAATGTTTCGTTTGGGAAATACGTTCCCAAAAGTCCCAAAACTTGAATTTTTTATGTTTTTTTTTACAAACAACACGCAGAAGAATCAAACTAAACGGTTATACCCACATTATTATGGATGGTTTATTTACAAAAATGTTCGTTTTGGATCTTTCTACAGGTCGTCGTTTTACGTGTTGGGCACATATAATATATTATATGGTTAGGCAACATACCTCACAGCAAGATTAATGATACTACAGCTGCATCCAATTCGTAGTCTTTTAGTGAAATCCGTCATATCACAAAAGCCTAATCAGTTCGTGAAACAAAGAGAATTTGACGTGTGGGGTAGTTTCCCTTCCCATTCTAGATCGATTTTTATTTTTTTCTGGATACCGGGGACGGATACAAAAAAAATTGCCAAACCAAAAGGTTTCTAAACAAATCAGAAAATTAAATTCTTGTTTCACAATCTACAAGTGGTGCACAGAAAAGAAGTTCAGGGGTAGAAAATGGAACATGACTCCTGCAAAAACAACACCCTGTAAATGTTCACTACCATTGACATGGCCAATGATGTAATACCTTCAGCGTAACTTATATTTCACATATGAGCCCAGTATCCCAAAAGCTGCAGGAGATATAAAAAAATAAAAAATGAAATTTTAACACCCTGTAGATCGATAATGCGGACCTACGTTTATATGAAAATGAGGTAAAGAATTAGCCCCTTCCGTATTTACATCATATTTAGGAAGACCCCGTGTAAAAATCTCGTGTCAGGGTGTTTGTGGTGGCACTCCTCCGAAACGGCTCGACCAAATTTTTATGAAATTTTGTAGGTATGCCGGGGCGCTTCCGCCGAAACTAAGCGTATGTCCCCCAAAAAAAAAGATATTTCCCAACGTCAGTACAAAGTCCGCGGGGTCTGCTAGTTATTAGACAAAAATGCAAAATTATTGCTTTTCTTTAAATTGATAAGACATTGTAAATGATAAAGTTGCACATGTTCTTTGTACGGAATTTCTTTATGCTTAGAAACTATTTGTAAGTTTTATCCTTCGTATAAATTTAACACGTGTTAAAAGCAAAGGAATTTTGTCTAGATAAGAAACCAATCGATAAAAATTGAGTTTATGCGTGTTTAATTAAAGTAGTTTAGCTTTTTGGAAAAAAAAATAAATACAATTAAATTTTGTTTTTAAATCTAGTTTTTGACCTTTTGAACTCATTTTTAGTGACGAATAGTGGAATGACAATCTCATTTATTTTTGTGTTAGTCGAGGTGTTACCCCTGTTTGTATTTTTTGTGTCACACAGCAATATACCGTGCGTCCTATTTTGGTAGAGATTGTAGTATACATTAACTGTTTTTAAAGGGACTTGATGTTTTCGCCAGGCCCCTTTTTGGTAAAACTTTTAATAGTTTTCATGCCAGAATAAGTCTATCTACGTTTGTCTCTGAGATACAGGGTGAAAATGAAAAGTTTGCACAGAAATCCTCCCAAGATCCACGTGAATGGTATAAATCTGGTAAAATTGCTTACTGCAGCTTTTAAATGTTCCGTCCAAAATTCCAAAAATGCCCCTTTACCTCTTTCACTTGACCCCGCAGTCTTCCCATCATCGGCGAAAAGAAATAATATAACGTTGATCAATCTCTCATCTTCAATGTGAGCCGAACATGGCGGTAGGCGCTAAAGAATCGCAAGAATCCGAAGGATGTTAAGGTTTTAAAATTTTAAGAAAGAACTAAAAATTGGAAAAACGTGAACAATTTATAGATTCTCAAAAAATTCAGCAATTCGAAAAATTTGAAAATAATTGACGAATTTGAAAGATTGGATGGAAGCATCAGAAATTTAAAAAATCTGAAAACTTTGAGGAATCCGAAACACGCGAATAAATCAAAAAGAATAATTGCTAGAAACTGAAGAATACAAATAATTGAATCGTATTACTTATGTGAATATTTTTGAAGATTGAAAAGGTCATTTTCGACATTTGCTACACATTTCAACAATTTCCTGCACATCTGTAACATTTTCGTCAATTTTGTGCACCAGGTAGGTATATTTCCTTTCTAAACATTTTGAAAAGATTTCCAAAATTGTCTTTTCTTAAAAAAAAACTCAAAAACTATTACTTAATAACAGGCAAAATTTTGAAAAGTAGGTTTTGTTTTTATAAAATTTTTATTTTTTTTCTGCAGGATAAAAATTGGGTGAGAAATATGGCGGTTTAAAGTTGGTAAATAGTAACTTCTTCAAACCTCAGAGCAATACTGAGGGTCAAACCTGTTCAGCTCAAACACTATCAAAAGTTAAGGTGAAAGGTGAAAAAATAAATCTGTATAGGGTATATGAAGCAGTTGAAAAATCCACAAAATGGTTTTTTGAATAAAGGGGAGCGGACCGGGAGTGACATTGACAGACAGGCGGTACGAATTTCGTAGGGGCTGCAAGAAATTAATAAAAAATTAAATCAATAAAGAAATGTGAATCTAATACCACTATACAGGATGATTCAAACTCCCATATTGTTGAATGGGGAGATTAATAATGCAAAAAATAGTATAAACAACGTCATTTAGACGTTAATTTGTCCTAAACACCAAATATAAAAAATAAGCACAGGGGTCATTTTGCTTGTTTTTGTATTTCAGCGTGTTTTTCCTTTTAGAAATTTGTGTAGAAGCGTAATGTTTTCGTGTTGTAAAATGTTCAATTTCGATAAGGCGATCCCCATGAGAACATCTCACATCTGGTCGAATTTGTGTGGTTATAGAAGGTCTTATCTGGTCGTTTGCGATAAGAAGTGTTTTTATCAGGCGAAATTTAATTATCGCACGTGTTCCTTCGCTGATAAAAGAGATACAGGTGTTTTACGAAGGTATGCGCTTTATTTCGGCGTGAATGGGGACGCGTCCTGTCGAAGCTGGGGTTATTGAAGTCTAATTGTGAATGGCGGTTTATTGATAAATTCATTGAAGATGGAGATTATTTTATGTTGGAAGTGATGTTTCATTAAATACCGATGACAACGAGATGACGGGGATTTTTTTCAGCCTGTGTATGTGAAAACGTAATTCGTCGGTATGGAAATAAGGTGTTCAGAAGAAGTTAAGAAAGATTAATAAAAATTTAAGTTATTACATCGTCAAATGAAGTGATAAAAGTTCTCGGAAAGTTTTTTAAACATGTTTTGCTCGTTACATAAGATTTTTTATTAATTGTCCATCGAACGACTGCGTGCGGGGTATGTGTAAAAAAACTGGATCGATAGCCTCTCTTTCTGTCAGCGTCTTGTTTAATTTTGTTTTTCATGTTTTGCGGAATAAATTTTTGTCTGTCATTCCCGCTAGGGTAAAACTGATGTAAACGAATCTAAAAATGCAAATTTTCGTAATATTCCGTAACTGTAACATCCACTATGAAATGCATCATTTAATAATTAGACCTTTGGAATGTGCTGTGAACAATTCCAAAAATATTGTCTAATACACAGTTTTTATTCCAACCTTGAACCACAATAACTAAGAATTTAATTCTAAAGATTTTTTACATTTTTAATGATTACTGCCATAGGGTGATTTTTAGGGGTTGAACATTTTCAATTCATCACTATGTCTCCCTCAGAATGCCATTGATTAGAAGCTAGAATCTACAATTTTATAATTATTTGGAAAAATGAATAAGCAACCTACCCTGGTAGAACCTAAATTCAAAATTTCATGAAAATCGGTGAGATTAACGTAATTAGACGATTTCAATCGATTTTGCGCTCGAATCTAGACCTACAAAGTTATCTTTGAATGGGAGTGGCATTCACTCCCAACTTTGAATTAGCGGGTAAGTAGAACTTAAATCCAAATTTTTGTGCAAATTGGAGCTGTTTCGTATAATTATAGGGTATGGCCGTAGCTTCAATGAGTGGACTATCAAAGAATTTTTGGAAATTTGCACTCCATATTTCTATTTGTAGAGCTTCTCCAAAATTTCCAAAACCATATTCAAACAATTTTGCGAATCAGTATTTTGAAATCAAGGACACTACGTTTCAAAATGATGTGCCGCGCTTTTGAAGAATGGAGTTGAGATATTCTAGGTACACAAAACAAGGTAAGTAATCGATTCTACTGATGAACATGAAAAGCCGCAGCCTGATGGACCGCAACGAATACACCTGTTACCAAACTGACTTCATCTAAACTTGCTACTTGGGAGTCTACAGACTTACAGTTAAAATTGGAATTATAGCTATTATTATTATTCTACAGAACTACAACATGGAGCACTTTATTTACCATACGAGTTAGATAAATTGGTATACCTGACCCTCGACCTGACCATAGTGATAATATCTACCTTTTTCCAAAACCATCACTACCCTCCTCCGTGATGCTATCCTGCTGGTTTTCTGTATGGTCTTGATTAGATCCGGTGCTGGAGCTGCCCGTACTGCACAAGGTACAACTTTCACTATAGAACTGGCACGAACAAGTACTTTGCAGTTTCTTTTTGTAGACACTATCGTCACCAAGCGAATTGTCCGCGGTCGAAACACCACTATCACAACGGCCACACCCACTTAAACGTGAATCCGAACTGTCAATTTTTTCTAATAAATTTTCTACACTCTCGCGCACCTCCTTTATTCCGTCTAGGGTTAAACTGTTTTTACGATCAAGCGTTTCCTTTGTACTGTTCGTTAGGCTACACCCGCAGCTTTGTAGGCTTTGCATGTACTTCTTCTTTAACTTGTATGACACACTGTTTTCAATGTCCGACTCGTGGCAGCTGCAGGGAACGCCGGCAGCATGGTGGTTGCATTTGTAAATGAAGGCTATGGAACTAACGGAACGTCTTCGGAGGGGCTGGGTCTGCATTTTAATTGGGGTACTCGTCGCGTATTCTGATGATGATATGTATTGGAGACGATCAACTTTGTCCTCTTCCAGCTTAGGTGGCTGAGAGTGGTGAACACCCTGAGAAGGCAATAAGACAATCGGTTTTGCAAACGTGCAAATTACTTACCTTGTATAATTCGACTAACTTCTCATTTCCCGTTTTAATCGCAACCTTCCGTATGTTTTCACCCTCGGCACTTCCAACCGTCGAATCGACCAACTGGAGGCACCGAGATACATCTTCCAAATTTTCCCTGACCTCCTCCAGTTTCTCGCTGAAAATCTTGACGTGAGACTTCAAATCGGTCGCGTTTTCCTTCAGGTTTTTCCCTTTCACGTCGGGAATGTTGCCGGATTCGTCGACCAAGTCACCGACTCGATCAATTTGCCTCTGCAATTAAAATCGTAACGCAAAAAACCGTTACAAAACAAGCCGTAGCATTCAAAAGAAGTAATGAATGGGTAACTTTTTGTCGATTATTAAATTAGATGAGCATTCTTTCTTTTTGTTAGAGTACTTTCATCGGTTGCACCATTATTCAATTTAGACAATTACGATTACAACAATGTAATTTAGTGTTATGCAGTGCCAATCAGTGAAAGTGCTAAAAAAATGCAATAGCCGTTAATTACCGATTGATTTATCTAAATAAAAAGGGGTCAACTAGCAAAAAAAGTCATACCATAGCGTCGAAGTAAAATTTTTCAAAATCCTTTTCGACAGCTTTCACACTTGCGACGTCACCAACCGCGCGTAGTGCCATGGTCTGACTTCGAAGTGTTTCATCCCCGACTTTGCGAATCCAGGAAAGCAACTGCAAAAAAAAACGCACAAGTAGTAATTTCCATACGTACAATGAAATCATTACGCTAATTGCACGTGAGAAAATAGACCGCACGCACTCTAAAATTTCTCCACAAGCCTTTCTTACAAATTGCACTATGACAGTTACCGTCGACTTTTTGTTAATTATATTGTGCAAAATTACACAGTGTTTCAGTTAGGCGTACCTCACCGGAATCAAACTCGTACTGTAAACAGGTGAGAAGTGGTGGGTGATAGTAGGTACCATCGTCACATTCGCAGAATTTATTGTTATAGAATTGAAATAAAAACGAAAACTGTTTATACAAAAGCTCCAATCACCATGGAAAAGTAAACTCGAAGAATGTATTTAAGGATATCGGAGAATGTATTATCAGTTTCCAAGTAAGTGTTCTATTGCATTACTAATGCAAATGCTTCGTATTTTAATCATCCGAATAAACGGAGGCGTATCAGAAATTCCACTATAATAGACTTGCAATAATCATATCACATTTTTTGCCATAGAAGAAGAAGCTGATTGTGTTATATAGATAACTGTAACTGGTGATTTTAATGTTGACTATCTCAATGCCATTTGTAGAAAATTATTTGGATCACCATGAATGAAAGAAGCTTGTCTCCTCTTTTGATTCGTCAATAAGAATACCAAAGTACAGTTGTCGATGAGTTGACATTTGATTCTTTTTATTTATTTTAGTGGTTATTGTGTATAGTATAAGTATAAATAGTAACCTTATTATTGACAGATGCAGTTATATTTGTTGTCTGTAACGTCAAGAGCCTTAAAAGACCTCGATAGATTTTATGTGTTAAACAAATGGTTTTGATCTACAATGTTATTAGTATTTATTTAGGCACGATCGGAATTTTTTTATTTGCTATAGTATAAACCGGGCAACATTAACCAAATCATAAGACAGGTTCTAAATTATTTTTTGCGAGGCGGCTCAAATTGCGTAGTTACGCCACTGTTCGCCGCAAAATTACAATTGAATGCCATGCCTATTCAAAAAAACCTGAAAATGTTGTTGCTCGATTACGGAATTTCGTGATAAAAGTTAAATCCAAAGGATCAAGCCGCACCAAACAAAACCGTGACAAAAGACTCGTTTGATTCAAGTCAAAATTAACTTTGATACCCAATTTTTGGGGAATATAATTTAATGCTAAGAACGCTGATCGTCGATCCGATCAAGATCAATTGTGCTCGTTTTGGCTGTTTTGTAGTTTCATTTCCTTCTAATCACAACGACGGGTAAACGCGACACTACGGCAGATTACGGCGTTGTGTCAGGAAACCGTCAAGTTAAAAGCGCGACCAACCACGGCACGTTAGCGTGGAACTTCGAAATGAGCCAAACCGACCCTTTACGTGCTCGGATTCAGAACCCACCGTTTTCTTTTTCAATCCATTAGGGAATGATATAGTATTCCAAGGTTGGACGACACAAAGGGTAGTTTTAGTTGCTGTATAAATAAGGTAACGTGTTTTTTTTCTATTGTATTCAATACAAACCGATTCCTTTAAGGATAGTGTATAAATAGAGTAGGAATTTTGTCGTTTAAGCAGTAAAGGAAAAACATTCCTTAAAGGTTGGGTCAAGTTTAAGTAAGTTAATTAGAAAAAGATAAAATATTCAATTTGAATTCCATACTAAGTACCAATCAGCAACAGACACTGGGAACGAAACTTGAATGCGATAATAGAAATATAAAAAAATGTGAATTGCGTTTGTATAGAACAAAAACATGGAGAGGAAACAAAACGAGAATAATCTAAAATATGAAATCGGAGACGGAACGAAAACGAAACGATATCGGAGAAAGAAAATAAGGAAAGTGGAATGGGCCTTGTAACGGAATGACCCGGAACGAAAGGGTAGCATAAATTGAGTCAACTTGTATAAGGGAAAGAAAACCAAAATGGATTGAGAAGGTAACGCAAGCGGAAATATAGCAATAAATCAATAACATAAACATGAACAGAATGAGAACCGAACCGAAAGAGGAAACCAAGAGTATATGAGTAAAACTGAAACGAAATGAAACGCTAGTGGAAAAGCGAATAGGAGCGGAATAGAAATGGATGAACAATAGGCCGTATAGAAATTATAAGCAAAAAAGGAACAGAACAAAATGTGAATCGAACATGACAAAAAGGGAAACAGAGCGGAAGCCATACTAAACACAACGATAACACAACGGTAGTGGACCAAAAACAATTGAGAGCAGGAACTATAAAGAAATGGGTGAGAATTGAAATACTCCAAAAAGAATTCAAAGGAAATCGAATGAAAACTGTAATGGAATGGAAAAGCAGAGGAACTTAACAGAAGCATAACGAGAAGATAACCTGAACGGAAAGAGGTGCTGAAACAGGTAGGGAGATGGAACGAGATTTAAAAAAGAACATGAAAAAAATGGAGGGATAGCAAGAGAACAGACGAACACAGAACCAGAAAATCGTTAAAACAGAAATAAAAAGGAATTAAAACGGAGATGAAAAATAACTGCAAGAAGCATGAGTAAAACAACTGCTACTAAGAATGGAACGAGCACGGAAAAACAAGAATAAGGTATATATAAAAAATAAATTACTTAAAAATAAAACAAGAACACAGCGAAAATCAAGCGGGGGCCAAACTAGGAGATAACGGAAATGGAAAAAACTAATACAAAACGAACGTGGGCGAAATGGAGCCGGAATTAAAACGGAACACGGCCAGAAAACAAAAATAAGAAAACTGGAATATGCGGCGATAGGGAGGATAGAAAAACATCCTATTTGAAAAATAGACAACCGGGAGAGCAAACGCATTCAGCATAGAATTGAGGGCAATAATAAATAAATACTGAAGTAGAACGACAACAAGATGGGAGTAAAGCAAATACCTATTATGAAATGAGAAGATAAGGAAAACAGAATCAGAGATGGGTGGGAAAGAAAAGACGGAGTAGAAAAGGGAAAAGAAAATTAACCAAGAAAAACAGAAACAAATCAAAGCAGAAGCAAAACAGAAAGAAAATAGTATAGGTATAAAACGGTAACACAACGAGAACGGAACGGAAGAACAACGAAAATAGAATAGGCGCTAAACAAGAACGGAAGGCAAGCAGAATGTGAAAACTGGACCATAAAGGCAATCACGGAGAAAACATAACGAAGATAGTATATTGCTAGAATGGAAATAGAAGGAAAAGGTAACGTAGACGGAACGCAAGCGAAGTGAAAAAGAAACAATTGCGCAACAACAACAAAGAGAAACAGAATGGTTAACACTTTAACAGAGCGGAAACAAAATAGCAACGAGCAGGATACAGATACCGAGAACGAGAGCACAGCGGAAGATATCGGAAAGGGATTGTAACGGAAGCGAAACGGGAATAAAACGGAAACAGACCACGAACACAGAAGGAAAGGCATATATAATAAAAGAATAAAGTTGACAGAACGGGAAATAAGGAAAACAGGTATTGAATGAAACGAAAACGTAAAAGAATGGAAACAAATAAAAACCCAAAGGAAACGAGAATTGGGCTCTGGCGGGGAGCGAGAGTGGAGGAACCCATTGTTCCACATGACGTGAGAGAAAAGCTTTCTACCACTGTGGAGGATGTAAAACAACAAGACCACACACGATTTTCAGTAGGGGAATTTTTTGCCACTCAGTCCGCATTCGGAAACCAGACTTTTAATCCGGCTCGTATTCAAAAACCTTGAACACTAAGAAATCCATGGCGAAAGTTTAACATCGCGGTTTCGTTCTCGAGTTAGACGAGGAACACACGGACAAATCAATCACAACGGGAATTTTTCTCTTTCGAAAAATTCCTGTAAAAATCGCTAGGACGTCTAAAGAATATTCAGATAAGTGAATTTAAAAAATGTTTTGAACAATGGAAAGATCGTTTGGAGAAGTGCGTTGTAGTCAATGGAGAATAATTTGCAGCTGATCAAAATTATTAAGAAATAAAGAAGTTATGGATGAAACTCCCATTTTTTTGGAGGTCCCCCCTCATATTTTAATAAAATTTAGTAGAATGGAGAAGAATAGAACGTCAAATAGGGAGAAGGAGCATCCTCAGTAAAATAACCGGAAGATAATGAACATGCACTTTCGGTTGCGCAAAGAGAAAGGTTGCTAATGGTAACAACAGAACTGGAATAACATAGATGTAAAACGGTAACTCAGAGAGACGGCAACGGGAACAAAACGGAAACAGAGCAGGGAAACGGGACACGAAGTGGAAGGGGAACGAAATGGGAAAGATAATAGATAAAATAACGAGAATCTAACCAAAGAGAATAGAGCACAGGAAAAAAATAGAATTGTAACGACAGCGAAAGAAATGGGACGGCCACGAATGAGGCGGTAAGAAAGAAGAAAACACAGGAACAGAACAGGAAGGTAACAGAAACAACACATGGACGAGGCAATGGCCCGTATGAATAAAAGTAAGCAAATGCTTATACTTGCAAAATTCAAAGTAAATACTCGTAAGTGCTCCTTCGCACTGGGCGACTTAGTAGCGCTTCTAAGCAGAAGGACAGGACGCAATGCAGCGCTGCTAAACCATGCTAAACAAACCAGTATGAGGGGGCAGTTACGAGTATTTACTTTGAATTTTGCAAGTATAAGCATTTGCTTACTTTTATTCATACGGGCCATTATAACGAACCGACAACAGAGCGGGAATAAAATGGGAACATAGCAAGAAAATGGCTGGAACAACAACTGGACAAAAACAGAACGGAAACAGAGAAACAGAATTGAACCGGAGCATATATGTAGTAAAAAATTATCAAAGTCCTCGTGTGACGAAGGGACTTCAGCGCATTTTTGTGTGGCAGATCAGTATTCAATTAGCCACTTTTGACTCAACCATCAATAAAAGATCTTGTCCAAGGCTACTACATTCACTTTGTCGGTACCCGCTTCCCACTTTCCGCGTGCACCCGCAATTAGCGTGTAAAGTTTTGACTCCACCATCAGTAAAATCTTGTCGGGGGCTACCATATTCCCTTTGTCGGTATCCACTTCCGATGTCCCGTTCCCTTCCAATGCGCGTTTGAAGATTTGACTCCACCATCAGTAAGATCGTGTCGGGGGCTACCACATTCCCTTTGACGGTACCCACTTCCGACGTCCCGTTCACCCGCAATTCGCGTTTGAAGATTTCACTCCACCATCAGTTAGATTTTGTCGGAGGCTATCACATTACCTCTTTCGGTGCATACTTATATTACACCCACATTTTGGTGAATTTCGCTAAAAACCTTCCACAAGATAGTACTTAATTTTTGGGGCACTTCTTATTACTCGAGCTTCTATTGGCGACACGAGAAAGAGAGACAGCGATTCGAGATTTACGAAACGTTAAACCGCGTGACAAAATTCGCAACGGAAGGTAAAAGGCGCCCGAAGTTTAGTACCTCTCGAAGACGCGCGCGCGCGCCTTGAAAAAGGTCGTTAATTTCGCCCCTAGGACAAACAAGTTTTCAAGCGGCGTTAGTTATTTCGCAAATTCTAATTAAACGCAACCACTACGGGCTTAATGAATGTCCATTGCGCCAATAACTCGACAAGACGGAGATAATGCAAAAAAACCGGACCTCTCTACGATGTCTAGATCAAAAGTTTTTCAATCCGCCCAGCCAGCCAGCCAGCCAGCCAGCCGGACAAAGTGAAATGATAAGCTCCTTTTTGTTACCAAAAATGCGCTAAAAACAGGTTGGAAATAAAATGGGAAAATAAAGGAAATGGAAACAGACTGGTAACAAAATAGAAACGAACAAAATGATAAAGGAAATAGAATAGAAACAAAAACAGATTGCGTATAAAACGCAAAACAAACACCTAGAGAAAAGAGTAAACCAAACAAAAGAAAAAGGAAGAAGAAAACAGAAATAGGAAGAAACTAACACACAAAAGGAACGTAGGTGTATCGGACACGCAATGTAAACGGAACGGAAGGAAACAGGTGTGTAACGGTAACAGAGAGGATAGCATGACAGGAGCAGAATGTAAAAAGCACAAATACAAAACTGAAATAAGGAATCGGTAACTGAAGCGGAGCCGGCCGAGTGGGAACGTAGTAACAACAGAACGGAAATGGAATGAGATTGGTACGTAAGCGAAAGCCAAACAGAGCAGGAACAGAGAAACAAATAATGAGTGCAGAACGAAACAGGTTAACAAAGTAATCGTAAACGATTTACAAAAAGCGCATTTCCACTTGCATTCATTTCCCATTTGTAAGATGCAACTTCTATTAAAATCGTAAAAATGCGGTCACAAATATGAAGGATAGCGTTGCATAAGTGCAATCAATTTTTGGCGTCCTACTTCAATTTCAGTTTATAAGAAGAAATTCATTTCAATGCTTTCATAAATAAGAAAGTTGACACTGCGCATGCGCAAACCTAAATTTTGAAACTGGCGTTAGATTTTCTTTTATTCCAAGCGCCTATGCATCAAATTTCATTTAAATACTTTTATAAATAAAAAAGTTTGCAATTCGGTTTATAAATGGTCGAGATGCGAAAAGGGCACTGTGAATTTTGAATCGATTCGACTCAACTTTTGGCATTGCGTATTATATGGCTAAAGTTATGCCCATATTGAATTTCATGCAATTCAGTTAATAACTAACGGAGATGTAAAAGCGATCGGACATTTCTAAACAAAGTTATCGTTCACACGGACAGATAGATGGACAGACAGACAAAGGAACAAACGGACAGACCAACAGACAGACGACAGAAAGCAATACAAAATTATAAACGATCTCTAGAATCGTTAAAAAACAGCAAAAGTGTAAAATTATGGAACATGTAAAAATCGGTTTTTTGTTTTTTTTTTACTTTTTTAGCAATAAACGCAGACACCATAACGAACCAAATAACGCAAAACGTAGGATAATAGCTCTTAAGATAAAGAACTAGTAGCGTCTCAACGAACGAGCGGGCGGACGGACGGACAAAGTTGCCACAATAGCGCATTTTTTAAAATTTGTATGGAAATTATTATTATTATTATCCCTCTCTTGTTTTGGGCCCTCAACAGGCATGCCGCCCAATTACAGAGTGACCCGCATAATGCTATTTAGAGGTGCCTCTGCAGAAGGTCTTAAGATGGTCTATACTACTCCGGTATTTACCTTACGAATTAGGAAAACTGCAGGAAAACCTAATTCGGAGTAGCCGGTAGAATGCTCGGAACTGGCCTAAGGTAATTTCCATCTCCGCCACAGATGAAAAATTCACCTCAACCCAGGTTCGAACACCCGACCTTCGGATTTATAACCCAATGCTCTTACCACTGAGCCATAAATCCGAAAATGCGCTAAAAAGGTGAGCAAAGTATATGAATAAGAGATAATGGAAAGATAACGGTGAAGAACAAGATAGGAGCAATACGCATACAACGGTAAAAGATCGAAACTAACTGAATAAAAATCTAAAACAAAATAGAAGTTAGACAAGAGGGAAAAGAAACGAAGGGGCCAAAGAAAGAAAAAGGAACATATAACGGAAACGGAAACACAACAAGCATGTCACCGGAGCAAAACGGAAATAGAGTAACAAAATGAAAACCAACTGGTAAGGTAAAAAAGAACGAGAAAAAACAACAGAACAGAACGGGAACACTACAGGAACACAACACAAACAGGACGAGTACTGATCGTGAAAACGGGAACAGGATGGGAAACACAATGGTCACAGAACGATATCAAAACGACAGCGACATGAGAAGATAATGGTAAAACACGGTTAAACACAAAAGACATAGAAGAAAAAGGAACTGCAAAAAGAATGAAACAGACAGGATGCAGAATGCAACTTCAGTAGTCCTTAAAATTAAAGAAAAAACTGACACGTGTAATTTAAGTTAACCTTTCATCTCTCCCTCAATACGAAACCTAAATCATTGAATTTTGTTTTAGAGTCGATATATCTTCAAAGGCAAGGTTTTCAGATGCATATTTATCCAAGTAAATTTAGGCGAGTTCTCAGTTCAGATGTCTATGCATCGAAACGAAATGCAGATGTCAGATTCTCGCATCTGGTGGTTTTGATGCAACAACATATTTCGAAACCCCCTAATCCTCAACTTATGATAAATGTGTTGACTTGTAAAAGTGAAAGTTTTTTATGTACCTACACGCAGATTGTTATTGCGAATTAGAAAAATGTCATTCTTCATATATTCCGCATGTTTAATCGAAGTTCCTGTTAAACAAAGGCAAACTCTTGACCGTGACTTGCAAGACATGCATATGAGCCATAAACAAACTAAAAAGACAGGCAATAAATTAGAAATTTATCGAAAATAAATTAACATTCCTTTGTATCGATGCGGTAGACACATGCATCTACCTATTTGCTAATTTAGATCCCAGCCGTAAAAGAGCAACATAAACTTGCTTTATTGTTCTTGTAGTCGGAACACACCATTCATTGCTTCCTATATTGAAAATTATTCATTATTTTCCATAATAAGTAATTATTGCGTGCCGTACCTTGTCGAGAATTATGTCGGAAAAAAGCGCGACCATGCCGGAGGTGGTAGCGGTTTGCCGTCGCAATTACAATATTCGCCCGGCAAATGGGACCGTCATGTATAAAGCTCGAAAGTACAAAATTACATTTATAATTTGTAGGTTAATTGATCCAGGAAAGAGATTTATAATCAAAGAGAATCTCAATGGAAGAAAAAAGAGAAGTACAAATTAGTACATCGAGATCACGTTCTGAGATTCTATAAAAGGTTGCACATCTCCTTAAAAGCATTAGAACCTAGAAGTTCGTCTTCGTGATGTCATGTGAACTGTCAAGTCAACATTCACAAGACGAACCCTTGTTTATGTAGCTGACATATTTAAGAGTGCACAAATGATACTTACAACTGCCGCCTCGTCTTCCAAACTTCGCAACCTCGCCAGCTCCTTCAGCCGCTCTTTGCGCAGCGTGGAAAGCTCCTCGAGCCTTTTGGCCACGCGATCCACAGACTGAAATGACGCATTCGCGAAATTCGCCAGCCTCCTCACATCTCTGCTCGCTCCCAGCCACTGGGTTCGGTCCTCCAAACTTTGAAAGGTCACCAGACCGTCTCGCCGCAACTTTTGAACCGACTCGTTTTGAAGCGCCTTCGATATTTGCCTACGGAACGACTGAATTAAAGCACATGTTCGAATACACATTGCGATCAATTGTAGTTTAATTAGGTGATGTCATACGTTTATTGAGAGAAAAATTGGCACGCACCTGCATTGATGGTTTAGAAATCTTCTATTCACTTGCGCCGGAATTTCTTCGCCTCGTAATTGAGACAGAGCGGAAAGTAAGGCTCGTGCAGCCGCCTGACACGAATTCAGGAAGGGCTCCAGTTGCTTGATGAACTCGACCCATTCCAGTTGGTCGTGTGTGCAGGAACCGCCGCAGCTCGCTGGTAACTGATCTTTTTTTATGTACGTTTCAAGGATGGATTCGTCGGTGATAACGATTCCCTGCAAAAGAGAATGGCAAGTTAAATATTGTAGATATAGCCTTTTTTTGGCTGCAACAGAAAATTGGAAAACCCCTTTTGAAAACCAATTATAACCAGATTTTGAATAAACTTTATGCACTGTGCAAATAGTAAATCCAGTGCCTTTCCTTAAAAAAATTTAGTTGGGTGCGAGCTTGATTACCTACTATACTGGGCGTTTGATGAAGGTTGGCACAAGTGAGTGTATAGCGTTCTCGTACGTTTTCGCTCCATTCGCCTTAAACAGCGATTTTCATTTATTACCCGTTTTCCAAAATTGTGGAATCTTTCGTTGTGCAGATATCGCGCAGTAAAATTTACCAACACCGAATTTCGATGGAAAAAACAATATAATATCGTGATTGTCATAGTTTAGATGTAACAAAGAAAAATTAGAGTCGATATTTCAACTTTAAGTAAAGTGGACTTAGGGTACGCTTTCTAAGCCATAGCGAAAATTGTTTTTAAACTTTCAACAATATTAATTTCTATGTTTGACCTGGAGATGGATGGCGATGGCGATTAATACTTAGAGACTACAAGGACCAGTTGATTTGGAGGACGAGTTGCGTTTCCAATGTTATTGTTAATGCTGAATGGGCTACACCGAGCATACCGGCCGAGATCCTAGGATAAAGCCGGAGTTGTGTTTCCCATTTTCTATATGTAATTCAATAGAACTTAATTGGGAAAAGTTCCGTAAATTTGCAAGTGAATTAAATCATCTTTCGCCATTGTGTTAAAATTTCTAATCTATGAGTTATTTTCACCTAGGTTAGGTCATGAAGTAGCGCATATAAGACGGCCATTCAGGAAACAATTTAAAATAACTAGTAAAAAATCAATATAGTATTACATATAGGATATATGTAAACAAGGTAATCACCCAGGGCCCATCGCTTACTTTTAAGAAGAAGAAATCTTTGATAATTGTAGACCACATCTGAAGCCCCTGAAGGAATTTAAATTACAATTAATTTTTCTTTAATAATATGTGCAACAATTTGGCAAATCTCAATTTTTTAATCATCACTTCAATCTAGTAGTTTTTTCTAGAATTTTTTCCTTCAAACGAAGAACCGATTACCTATAACCATATTTGCAGGAACGGTACGGCCAGATTCCGTTATTACACAAAATCTCGATAAGACTTTAATTTATTAATCTGAGAAAACTCTGCAGCATTGATCATTGATCAACTCCACACCTCCAAAGAATAATATATAGCGAATTTTTATTTAAACCATGGCATAACCCTGGTTACCAACAGAATAATTTAGCATCTTACCTCGGTGGTAATTTGGACCCAATTAAACACAACATATATTATTATAGACGAAAGAAACTTCTAAACAGAGGCTGAAATAAAAATAGGCACTCAGGGCCAGAGTATAAATACCACACAACAAGCGATCGTGGCAACTGATGTACTTCTGAAACTTCACTTTTTACTTTAATTGCACTTGAATCTCCCTTAAGATGACACTTGTTTTGTTGTAATTACTGATGTAAAATTGGCTTCACTTCACTTCTTTATTTATTTATTTATTTTGCCTTTATTTTTTAGTAGGTGCGGTTTCAGACAAAGCTGCTCTACCAACCCAACCCACTATACTTTCATTCGACTTAAACATTTACTTTAAACGGCATAATAAAAATCTCATAGAGTATTCAACATTCAACAGAATTCCAGGTGAATTTTCCCCCGGGAGATTATCTCCCGGAAGTTCCGCCCCAAAGATTTGCCCACGCGTATTTACCTTAACAAAATTGCTGTTGTATATGTACCTCAACAGAAATCCAAAGATGTGAGGTGTATTAAAGTCAAATGGACAGGAATAAAATTAACGTATTGTTGTGTAAACTTCGTCATGCGGACGATTCCTTTGGCATTACCACCTATAATAATGATGGGTCGCCCTGTACGTGAGTTTCGTTTATTTGTAACGTAAAATCTTGATTGAACACAATCTCGATCATATTAGTCGAGGTCAATATTTTGTATTAGAATTGGATGTTTGATTTTTGTTTAAATAATCGCCTTTTAATTTGCTTATTTTACTGTTCAGTTAGTAAGTTAAGGAACATCTGGAATTAAATGGGTTAATATTATGTTAAAGTTATCTCTTGTAAATCCGGTCGTTGCGATAAGAAGCTTCGTTACCGCTGCGTAAGCTAATTAAGTTAAGATAAGCAGATGTTTTCAGATGGCAGTTATTCGACGACGCAGTAATTTTCATAAGGGGATTGTTACGAAAAGAAAAGAAACTTGTTTTAAATAGAAGAGGCGGACGTTAATCGCGGGTTTTTTGATGGTGGAGGCTTTTGGTGTATCGCAGTCAGCGACAGTTGAGGATACTTTGTTACAAGACCGCCGTCTTACCAGTTGTACACTGCACAGTTTTGTGGAAGAAAGTTGTAAGAGATGTTTATTAGGCCATTTAAAGTAAATGTTTAAGTCAAATTAAAGAAGTTAATCGGAGTGTTATAGAAAGCCTTTTTTTAAAGTGATCCAAATTACCTGTTAAAGAGAGTTTTATTTCTACCATCATAGAGTCAATTTTGCCTCTGTAATTACAGCGAACCCAGTGTCGTCTGGATCGAAATTTTAGTGCAAGTGAAGAAGTGGAGTTTCGAAGCAATATCATCGTTTAGCGTTTGTGTGTTTGTGCATCACTTATACAAAGCGCAATTGAACCGGATATTGTGGATTACTAACAGGTTAAGGTAATTAAAATTTCTTTAATTAATTGTTTCAATCGATCGCTTGTTGCGTTGTATGTGTATTCTGGTCCTGAGTGCCTATTGTTATTTCAGCCTCATTTGATTGATTTGGTCTAATAACCTTATTTCATTTGTAAATGCCGAAATTACAACTTAGGTAAGAGTTCTCATGCGAAATTTTTGTGTTGGTATCCAGGGTTATGCCAGGGTTTTTAATTCAAAATTTGTAATATAATTCTATGGAATTGTGAAGATGATCAAGGCTGCTGAATTTTGTCAAATTTTATAAAATGAAAGTCTTATCGAGATTTTTCGTAGTAACAAATGCTGGACATGCCCCAAAAAAATTGTAATTATTTCTTATGAAAGATTTTGTTACTGCCTGTGTTTAATTGAGCTAACTGGACAGGTGCTTGTGAGTATAGTCAGTGACCATTTGCCATTGCACAATGCACATAGCAGTATTATTAGATGATGCATTTAAATTGGGCACATACGCTATGTACATCGAAATGGCACTTTTGAGGTACTCTTATGCTATTATAATTCCTTGATTTGAGACCTTTAATTCAAATACCATGAATGATACAACTTTTTTTCCAAAACAAAGTCACAAGTAATAAATTTCAATATGGACTACATGATCGCAAACAATGGTGTGATACGAATTGATCGTCGGATGTAAAAGCGATGCACGTTTTACCTTCCAAAACAGACTCTGAAGAAATAATTCCAGGGACTCGGAGTTAAGAAACAAACATTTGAAGACCATCTGGCCCACCTTCGACACATAATACCTACTTATTTCATTAAAATTCAGAGCCATTTCATAGTTTAAAATGGCAGAAGTGCTTTCTGGCAGAGAAACAAGACGTATACAATAGCACTTTTTTTTGTTAAAACTGTAACGAAGCATAAGTCTGGAGATTTCCATTTTTAGTGATTACTCTGTAGATGAACACCCGGTATCTAGAAGCGTTTTAAGTTGGGCGCCTCGTTACGAAGATTGTCGGTCCGAAAATATTTATCTCCGAGTTTGAAATAGAAGATAGAAATTATGGAGTTAATTTGTAGAGCCGCCCGTTAAGGAAAATAAGAGGCCGTATTTAATTTGCCGTTTGCAACCGTTCCCGTAGGAATATTTAAATTTACAGTCCCCGAAAGCTCTCTTGTCAGGAAATGAAGATTCAACCTTGTTAAGTTTTGGGTCCGTTAATTACCCATTAATCGATTTTAATTTCCAATGATATACGAAAACCAGCATTAAACCGACAAGGTCGTGCAGTTTAAAAAAAGGGAATTGCTGGACTGCCGAATTTGGAGATTTCATTCCGACTATTTGGGTAAGTACAATTAACCGTAATTAGTTAAATGGGTTACAAATAACAACCTCCCATTAAATCGAGTCGTTTCTTAAACAAACTTGAATTTTGATATTGGTTCCGTATTTTTAAGACGTCTGACGGCCAGTTGCACAAAAAAAATAATCCAGGATTATTGTTTAATCCGGTATTAAGACATTTGACTGGCTTTATACTGCTGTATGCAGCCAATCAAATGTCAAAATTCTTGTTTAAACTCAGATTTGGCAAATAATCTAGGATTTTGATTAAAATTCGCTTTCCTGCAACCGGCCGTCAGAAGGACATAATTAAATCTAATTTTTGGATGTAAATAACCAAATACGCTGTGTCGATTGAAAAACTGGCATATCCGTATTTTATAAATGGTCAAGCCGTTGTTTAGAGGGGATCTTTTATATTTTTCCCTTTGAGTTTACCGAAACGTAAGAAATCTTGTTGCGTTTAGCATCTTTTCCAGTTCCGTTAGTAAATACCGTAATTTTTAAGATTTTCCGTAAATTTACTTTGCCAACCGTACTGTATTTAAATCATGGATCTTTTTGAATTTAGTGTTTAACCGAATAGTAAGTTTATCTTTCTTCCTTTTGTAGTTTCGCAAGCTAAATTTATTTTGCAATCATGCCGTTTAACTTTTGCGTTTACATTGAGTTTACGGCACTGTATCTGTAGATTTTGCTTTTTCTTGCACAGTAAATTCTACAGTTTCATTTAGTTGCAAGGTAAGTGTTTAGGGAATCAAAGTATGCATTTTATTTTGCTAAATCAACCGAGGGCTTAAACAGTTTTTTTTTAAGCTACACTTCTACAAGTAACAAAAGTTGCGTTTCTTCGACTTCTTCCTCGGTTTTACCTGGGACTTTGAGGCCCAAGAGAGGCCTGGTTTTACAAAATTTGGTATCTACGGATTACTCAACATAATAATGCCGAATCCAACATTTTTCAATTCCTCGCGGTTTTTAAATATGATTTTTCAAATAAAAATAAATTCTTTGCGCATTTATTGAACGCCGGACACCGATATTTTTTGGAGAAATGATCGTTCAGAAATCAACGCTTCTGTTTCTGAGTCGTACTAGTGCCAAAAATGTATATTTCAGTCAGAGTATAACCTTCAGGAGCTCCAGAATTGCGGAAACCTCGTTCATAATAGAAAATCCGAAAATCCGAGTTGGTCGCAACATTTCTCTTGAGCTTTCTAATTTGTACTAGGTGATATGAATGCGATGTCCACTCCCAGAATTGCTAGGAGCAATCGCTGTGAGAGAATACGAAAATAAAGATGCGCGTAAGTTAAAAATGCAATGTGGATTGGGTGGGTTTTTAACATTTCTCTTCAAAGTAAAATTTCCCTCCCACTGCGATTAAAAAACGCTCGTGAGGCAAAACGTGGGGTAATGCTCGTGGTGTAGACACAAACGGGATTCAAATGGAGGTAATCTAAACGGTGAGGGGGTAAAAAACCTTTTGAAATTTTTAACAAACTATTTTTTTTATGTTCTACCATAGAGTAAATACAATTATTGTATGGTTCTACTTAATTTATGGTTTGTCCATTTCATGCTTTATAGTTTCCATTTCAAATACAGCTTATTAGTTATCATCACCACATACATTAAATGTTCGTACCTACCTATACTAAATTTGTTAAGCCAATCTACATTGTTGAGTCGATTAATATTTCATTACCTACCTCGATTTAGTTGCTAATATCCTAATGGATGGCGCTCTCATCGTAACTGTCTGACACCGATGACAGCTGATTTAGTTGCAAATTGTTCAAAACCGCATTTTAAAAACAATTCTTATTCTTATTATGAGTAATATGGATTATTTTAAGTTCTGTGCTTTTTTTTGTAAACTGCAAATGAACGACCAAACGCGAAAAAGTGAAATAAGTAAATGCGTACCGAAGTAAACACAAGTAGGAGTTGTGATTAACTTTAGCCAGATTACGGGAAATGATGGTTTGTTTTACGTAACCTATAACTAAACGAGCGCTGTGCTAAATGGTTAAGTAAAAACAAAAGCAAAAAGAAACCGTTAATTATTAAAGGATCGGTAAGTATATAAAACTCGAACTTGAGTTTAATAAAATTGATTGTTACTTTAGAAAGCCCATTACTGTTTAAATTTCTGGGTGGAAAAGTTCAATTCTTGTCTATAAGACATGGAAACATTGGGTTGCGCTTGCGACCCATGAGAAGAGCAAGGGATGGCAATTTATGGCATCATAATGTTGCATATCGGAGACGTAGTAGCACTACCTGAAGAGGATACTGCCATACTTTGTTATTTTCGCGTGCCCGTAAAGCGAATGGGCCACTAAATGGGCGACGAAACCTCCTGCTAGTGCAGCCAATCTACAGCCACCGAACTGTTTTAAGTTGAAGAACTCTACTGGCACTTGCTAATATTGTAGCGATCATATGCCAAAAACAATGTCCGGTAATTAAATGTAATTTGTCACATTTTAGAAATAGATAATGCTATTTTTAGGGCTATCGTATTGGAACAGGTGTTTAGTGACTACCTGCTTGGATCTGGAGAATAAATCTTTCGTTATTGACATCTGCACAGATTATAATACTAATATTGTAACCCAGTCTAAATCTGTAATCACAAAAGATCGCTGTAGGTACATTTTAGAATAATAAAACTGACATGGTCATTAGGCATTACCGCATTAGGTTTGAATGTGGATCACAACATTATTTGGTCGTTCATAATGTGGATGATTTTTTTACCTTTACCTCATTAAAATAAGCAAGTAAAACATGAAGTTTTACCTATACCCTTTCCTGCCCACCATTGTTCATTCACTTCAAAAATTCATTCGGGGAGTAAATTTTTTACTACACTCAATTTCCCTTATTTGAGGGGATGTACATTGAAATTCTTTAGTATGGGCCATTTTTTAACATACATGTTAAATTAATATGAATATTAATTAGGTAAATTTCCAAATCTGTATTACCGACAACATTTTATGTAGGGCAATGATATTGCAGATGGCGCATAAGATGAATATAATACGTATAAATTTAGTGAATTATTTTATTTTTGATAATGGAATGATTATAATGATGATCGTGAATAAAATCGTATACGAACCTCGACGAAAGGTTATTTTTCTTAGAATATAATCACCCTCGGCGCTGCGCGCCTCGGGTGATTAAAATTCTTCGAAAAATAACCTACTTTCGCACTCGGTGCGTAATATACTAATTATTCCTTGCGCAAATGAGATATGCTTCGGCCATATACGTCCAGAAAAAAAAGATCAAGAGGGCACGATCGAAAACTTACCTTCAATTGACTAGCTTGTAAGTGGCGAGGTGCCGAACTGGTTGTCGGTTTCCAGATGAGAAAATTGACTACTTTGATTAGGCGCGAAACCAACGCGATGGCCTCGTCTAAGGACACAAGCGCCTCTTTCTCATCCGTCTCGGCGAGCAGAAGAACGGTAAAACCCTTTTCCTTCTCCTTGGCGCTGCAACAAAGGCCAATTTAAGTAACGTTACCGCAGCTTACCTAATTTTGGACAATTACGGGAATGGCAACAAATCAAGTCGCAGATATAGAACAAGATAAAGTTAAATGCATATGCCCGACTATAATTATGAATTTGCTGCAGTTGGAAATGAAAGGAGTTGCATGTACCGCATGACGATTGTATGTAAATCCAAAGACAGGTGACCATAAGCCGCCTCGGGTGTCGTGGAACCTACATACTGCCTTAAATGCACTTACTGTGTCACCTACCAATTTAGGTTCAGCTCACTATACTACCGCATACTCAGTCAATGCGAAATTATGCTGTCATCAAATCAGTTAGCTAAATAATAACGAAATGTGAGAAATGTTACTAAACCGCCCCGAGCTAGGAATACATGCAACTCAATAAATAATAAAGGTAATAATTACATATGTTATCTTAATAGTTAATATACTTATAATATAATTATAGAAAGTTTAACTTCCTTTTCAACTATCGATTTGTTTCCATCCTATCTCGCTAAAAAATCGAGAAAAACGCAATGGAAAGTTTCTTACCTCGGAATGGACCCGTAATAAAGAAGAACCTTTGCAATTTCGTACTTGTTTAAACCCGCCCTGGCGATGCATTCCGCGTAGCACAGCAGAATCGGCCTTCCCTGTGCGTCCGTGGTACCTGAAACAAAAAATTGAGATTATTGCAAACGTTGTTTTAGTTTAAATAAATCACGTCTTACTAGAATCATCAAAATTCTCAAGTGTAAGAATCGAGAATTCTGAAATTTAAAAATAAGAATGGGACATTTGTTATTTCGTACGCTTGTTGACAACGCAGAAGAAAGCAAAATGCGCAGATTTTTTTCTTATAAGGGGTCGCAACTTAGAAACTAAAACGCACATGTCAAATAATTGTAGAAACAACATTGCCTCATATTTTACTTGATCCTGTGTGAAAAGTCACGCTTGCAATACCCGATATCTAACATACTCTTAGTTGTGTGTTGATAAATACGGTAAATTCCATTTCGGTTACCATAAAACGCATGTAAGTACAGAACCTATGACCATGACTTTGATACCAAATTTTGGAAATGATAACTTACTCTTTGACACTCTTTAATACTTTTAATATTGTGTAATGAAAACTAATATTTGTCAAAAAAATGTCCCCCTTGGCCAGGCCAGAAGTACGCCACTGGCAACAAATTTAAAGTACGTAGATTGCTAGCAGTTTTAATTTTGGATACCATAAAAAGCTTCTTTAAAAAGTCTTGTTTTGAAGGTATATCTAGTGTTACAGACAAAATGTTCACCCTGTGTAGTACGATTTCCCTATTCTTTAAAATGGACTAAAGTTTTTCGATTTACTTAATTTTGGTACCCTTAACGTAATGTAATATAATGTTTCCTAATTATTTCTGTGTATCCCTGTAAGCAAAATTTGTTCATATTATATGCATCCGCAGATGTAAATTTGCATTTTAATTTCAGATTATTACTAGAACGTCATCCTAAAAACGACAATATTAGAGATAAATGGGAAAAAATTCAAATGCTTGCAACAAGATTGTGTATTAATGTTCCTTTACCATGCCATCTTAATTTATTATGGAATAGAAGATTACTTTCTTGTTTCATTTAGCAACAGATCATTTGCTAGCTATAATCAACATCTATCCATCAGAGGGAACTAAGTATAGCGTAAATGTCAACCGTAGGTGCAACAAAGCTAATTAATACAATGCCAACCACCTCCATATTGACAACACTAATAAAATACAAAATTACTCTTGTTGCACCTCCAGGTTCACTAACAACAAAACACAATAATGACTTTGCGTTATTATGGACACCAAAGCTACGATCATCAAATTAATAAAAAAGGGTACCTTAATTAAGCGTTTTCAACAAAAAAATTTGTGGGAGACGCCCGAAATTTTCCACCATGTAGATCATTATGCTTCAAAGAAATGAAAGCAGAGATTGGCCACTTGAAAATATGGTGGAAGTTTCAACAAGATCTTTAAAAAACTAATTCTGACCCCACGCAATGTAACCTAGCATTCCCTCTTCCACCTCAAAAATGTAATTAAGAATGTTGAGCTTTCACTATCCCCCATTCAGTGTAATTTCCTTATCGCACCTGTTTTCCTTACACTTTTAATCTCCCAAATTTCATTTTACTACTATTTTTCTTCTATTTCCTATCACCCCAGCCGCATGTTTTTGATTCTACTCAACGTTTCATAACCCTGCAAAGTTCCAATTCAGAATTAGTTGCGTGCAGTCAATCACCCAAAATCTTACGTTCCTGGTCATAATTTTCTTTATTTTCATTCAATTTTTCCATTATTTTCTACAGTAGTGGTCAGCAATGTTTAGATTCCATAGGTCAAGTTGCCTCTCATTCACAAAATCACCCCCTTCGTCTAGGATCCATTTCCATTTCTTCTATATTCTTGTGAATTTCATCCAACAACTCGCCATATATCTGGTTGAAAACTCTCTCATTCTACCTAACCTACAGCTAACTTTTTAACAGATAATCAACAGCTGCGTCAGGGCTGCGTGAGGATCTGCGAAAACTAATCCTGACAATATTCAGACAGACAGACTGAGGTGTATTCAACACTGTGACGGGTTTTTAAAGCGTACACGTCGTTTTTGAGCAATTACAAGGGGGGGGGGATTTTTGGGATTTAGTTATTTATTTTACTTTAATTTTTAGCTTTGTTTGTCACAATCCAATTTTGTTCTTTACTCTTCTTTTGTCCTCTGTGATTTATTTATTTATTTTTTTTTTTTTATTTAAGATCCCTCTCTTATTCTGGACCCTCAAAAGGCTTGCGCCCAATTACAGAGTGACCCGTATAATGCTTTTTAGAGATGCCTCTGCAGAAGGTCTTAAGTTGTTCTATACTACTATGGTTCCTTACGAATTAGGAAAACTGCAGGAAAACCTAATTCGGAGTAGCCGGCAGAATGCTCGAAACTGGTCTAAGGTAATTCCCATCTCTGCTACAGATGAAAAATTCACCTCAACCCAGGTTCGAACACCCAACACCCGACCCTCGGATTTATAGTCCAACGCTCTACCACTTAATCCATAAAGATTTCACATTTGCACTGTTCACATTTAAAATCTTATCACGTATCACTCTTGGTCTTTTTCTACGTAGGTATCTTCTCTCTCTTTCCCTTTCCTAAAATTCAAATGTGTAAAGTATAGTTCATTAAACCTAAGACCGGTGCAGTATAACTACTGGTTCAATTGAATCAAATCTTTGTAAGACAAAGACAAGACCGTTTCAGCATTAAATACTGCCTGGTTCAATACGAAAAATCTTTCAATGGCAACCTGTGCACAATAACACTTTAAATCCACACTTCTGCTGGTTTATAATTAAAACTAGCCATTACTCTTGTTGCCATCAGGTATGATTTTCTATCGTACTTAACCAGGCAGTATTTAATACCGCAATAACCAACAATTAATAATAATAATTGAAACGGTCTTGTCTTTGTCGGTTCCCAAATTTGAATTTTAGTAAAGAGAGAAAAGATACTAAGAAAGACCAAGAGTGATAAGAATTTAAATGTGAACAGTGCAAATGTGAAATCACAAAGAAGAAAAGAAGAGTAAAGTAAAAAATTGAAATGTTACAACTAAAGCTGAAAATTAAACTAAAATAAATTAACTAAATTCCAAAAATCAGCCCCCCCTCCTCCATAATTTCTCAATGACGTGTACAGTTTCGGAAAAAACCGTCACAACTACCGTGACAGTTGCCATCAAATCTTCCCTTGCTGGGGGGTATTCTATACCCCCCTGACCCTCGGGTGTACATTCTTCCCCAAAATTTTCAGACCTTAGAACTTTTGTATATGGCACGAAAATTTCATGACACTCACTACAAAACAGTGATAAGCATGGTGATTATACTAACCATTTTGGAAAAGAATTTATCACCGGGGGGACTGGGGAGTATTTGAAAAATCAACCCCGCCCCCATAATTGCTCAGAAAATGACGTGTACCTACACTTGTACAGTAAACCGTCACAACTACTATGGCAGTTGTCATCAAATCTCCCATTGCTGAGGGGTATTCCCAGGGGTATTCCATACCCCCCAGACCTCACGGTGTAAATTCTCCCCAAAAACGTTCAGACCTTAGAAAGTGATTGAGGCAGAGACGAGGGCTTTACTATGGGCTATAATTTGTATCGTATCCCTCAGTAACCATCTACAAGGATTTTTCTGCGTATAGCGAATTTGCCACATCATAAGTCACTAATGGCCGTTTGCACCAACAAAGTTATGATCAGCTTAGCTACGCGTAGATTAAAATCCATGACCAACATTGTCGCAATAGTCGTTGCTATGGATTTTAAGTTATACCTAAGCTAAGCTCCTCTTAAATTTGTCCGCGCAAACGGCGCTAAATCGCGTTTTTAAATCATTTTCAAAACTGCGTTTCGCTTTAAATTATTAATGCCTCTTTCTGTAAACGTTCTGCATTTGCATAAATTACGTACGCATTCACTTTTGATAACTGATAACATTCTCCCTTAAGTCAATAGTGTGCGAAGTCCCTAATTCGTTCCATGAACTGTCGTCTGCTTCCTACTGTTCAATTGCAGATAAGCGTACGGCGAAACCAGCACACATACCACCGCGATGAAAGCCATCTTCATTTGCCTACCCTTATAGCACTAAATTACTACATCTAATATACAGTGGTATTCATTTCAATTCAGCTTCTTAAAACAAATGAAGAATTTGCTATCATATTAATTTATTGGAATATTATTGCTTTGGTTTTCGTATTTTCGTTCGTGTGCGATGTAATCCACTGAAGAAAAAGTTGATTGTCAATTGGTATAGTGCAGGTAATAGTTTAAGGGGCGTAAGACACCGCAAACGACCCTCAATTTTAACGGAGGATATTAAACTGAATGTTTAAATTTTTGTGGAAGGGAAACTATCAAAAACTTAACGGAAATAGCCACCAAATTTAATATCTCTTCAACATAAACTAAAAGCATACCGTTTACTGTCGTTTTTAATAAAATGTAGACTGTCAATGAAAAATACGTGCGCATGTTATTTCGGTTGCATAAAATTAGGCGTCTTTCAGAAGAATTTTTGACATTTAAAAGTAGACATAGGAAATCCCAAGGTCTACTTCTAAATAAACCGGATTGTATATAAGGTTGTATCTTTTTCAAAACATGATTACACATAGGTACAATCAAAACCAACAGTGCCAATTCAATTTACGTGTAACCTTTTTAAAAAAATAGCAAAAATCATTTCTATGCAGCTTAATACAGTGAAAAGGGGTAGTGGATTAAAATGCTGCAATAATCGGATTCTATCATGGCTAATCGGACGTGTTGATTAGTGTCGATTAGATCCCACAGTTTGTAGTCTCGTTAGTTATACACTTTGCAGAAATTTTCAGGAGAAAGTACTTCCCTTGCGCAGGATTTAATTACGCCTTACGAGTGCAGTACAATTAACAAGATAGCTCGGGGCGAGAATCACTATTTCTATTTTCAAGTCGAATGGCGACGCTACACGCTGAAATGTGCAAAATTAATTATACCCACTTCGGAAAACAATTTGTATCTAAAACGAACACTCCTACATCCACCTTTAGCACAACAAGGTA